TGTTACCAACTCAGTTTGATGCCTGGGAAATAGAAATACATATCTATCTTCTATCTACATAAAAGGCTAATATGCAAAGTGTCCCCTTGGGAGTTCAACCGGGAGACCAGGAGTCCATCGCTCGCTATGACGTGCGCTGACCACCAGGGCATGGTGTGGATCGAAGGAAGGCCCCAGCCAGCAGCAGGCAGCCAGTGAAGGGAGGCCCTGGCCGGCAGCCTGAAGGCCCCGATCAGCCCTTATCACTGGCCAGGCCTAGGAACCATACCCATGCATGATTTTCGTGCACCGGGCCTCTAGTTCTAAATAAGAATTTTAAGGTGAAATTATCCACCAGTCCAAAAAAAAAAAAAAAAAATCAAGGATTATGGACACCAATTTGTTTACATTGTTACTACTATTTTTAAATATTTAAACCTTTCAATACTTTGTTAATTATATATATGAAACAGTATTTTATAAAAAATGCATATTTTCTATGTAATTTCACAAGTCATTAATTACTGAATTACAAAGCCCTCGATCTTCCAAAGAAATAACCTTCTCCTCGAACAGAGAGCAATAACCCTGGAAACACAGGTGAGAGACCAGACCCTCCATGTGAAAAGTGACACGTATGTGTTTAGGTGGTTCCTGCCTGTCTATGTGCCTCTCATGTGCTCTGTTTCAGAATGTAAGTTGTCCGGGAGCAGTGACATAAGAGTTCTGAACTGAGCTATGATCATCACCCCGCCACAAGTAAATGATAAAATCAAACAAGGTTTATCTGAGAATTATCTGTAGGATTTTGAAACAGTGAAAGCTTAGTAGAAACACTGCCAGTAGCTGACACAATGGCAGGTTTGGTGTAGTATATACTTCCAGTCTCCTGCAGACTTCATTTTTCAGAGTTAGCTTGCAAGTGACTGAATTACCTACCAGTTTCTCGAAGAATTCATCTTTCTTTGCTAATCAGGACTTAGGAAGTGACAACCACAACTGACCCTGACTCAATATTAAATCTATTATAGCAAATGTGTTTCTTAAAACAACAGCCACAAAGAATGTACATGAAGAGTAAACCGTAATGTAAACTATGGAGTCAGGGTGATAATAACGTGTCAGTGTAAGCTAATTGATTGCAACTAGTGCACCACTCTGGTGGGGGAATGTTGATAATGACGGAGGCAATATATGTGTGGGGCAAGGGTATATGGGAAATCTCTGTATCTTCCTGTCACTATTGCTGTGAACCTAAAATTGTTCTAAAAAAGAAATTCTATTAAAAAACACAAACCACAAAACCAACAGCCAGTTTTCCTTAAAACATATCCCGCACCACAATGTGCTTAAAGCTTGCAACTTGATTATAGTCTCTGTGATTTTAAGACAAATGATTATAATGAATTACTCTAAGGTGGCTGAGTTATGGTTAGATATAAAAAATTTTTATTATCCCAGAATTAATGTAATTGTGAACTATTAAAAAGAAATATATAACTAATAAAACTCAGTTACCACCACTGCTATGGTACAGTTGCAAGTAAAAAATAAAATATTTTGACTCTAGCTTTAGCTTTATCATGGATATACTGATCAAACCTTCTTGAATATAAAGGACTATGTGGTCCTGGGTTACACTCACAGACACAGAAGACAGGTCTTTGAAATGCTTAGAACACTCAGATGCCAATATTATTAACTACCCGAAGATTATAAATACTGTGGAGTGGGAAATTTGTTCAACAAATATTTCCTGATGGTTTACATGTCACTGAAGTTGGTACTACCCCTGTCCCTGTGGAACTAGCTATCTATCAAGTTAGAAAAGCAAAATGATAATAGGTATATACAACTGCAAACTGATATATGTGATCCAGACATGGAGGAAAACGTGGGCAATGAATCACTACAGGTAAATTTGGTTGATGAATCTTGAGTTGGTGAAGCCAAGAAGACAGGCTGTTCGGGCAAGGGCTAGGCCAAAGGAAAGTCCTGGAGCGAAGACGGAAGCAGAGAGGGGGGCGATAATTGGATATGAGGGTGCCATCAATCTTTTGGTGGGGTCAGGAAGTGATTCCAATCCACAAGACAACATGGACCCGCTAAAGACAGGAGGACTGATTTCAATTAACACCAAAACCAGCAGAGATGGAATCTACCTTGTGACGTGGCAAAATTCTACTGCAATCCTCTCGGTCATGTACCACTCACGTGGAAACATTCGGCCGAATTTCTCCTCATAGTCCACAAGCTGGCGTTTTATCCAGGCATAGCGTCTGTCAATTTTGTCCAGCCAGGCAACCTTAGAAAATTAGGGAACAAAGTCCACCCCAGTATTAGAAGGAGTATTGACAGTTTAAGGAAAGCAAAAACACGGAACCAAGAAAAACACAGCCAAACTCTCTACTTTTCAGGGTTTTAAAGAATCTAGGCTACGTTTTTACTTGATCCAGAGATTTTTACCCTGAGGTTCATGAGTAGGCTTCAGAGGTCTATAAATTTTCTGAAACTGTATGCAAAGTTTTAGGCATAAGTGCCTTTTGCTGGAGAGAAGATCTGTAGCATTCATTAATTTCTCCAAAGGGCCAGTGACCCCAAAATGGTTAAGAACCACTGAACTATACAGTTAGCCCCTAGCATTCATGGTTCAACAACCAACTCTTTAAGACAGTAATGATAATAATAAAGTATAAATCAGGAGGCTTGAGAGCATTCAATTTTCAATACAATTCAAATGTCACATCTGATCTCATTTGGTCAATACTTACATCTTGGTTTTCTTGAAAAAGGACTAGATACTCTGACAGATGCTGTTTAATAAACTTTTTAATGATTTCCTGTTTGATTCGGGGGTCCAAAATATTAGCAATCAGACACGCATCTCGTAGGACATTGCTGGGTCCTCCTGGCCTCTGTTAAAACAAACATACACCAATTCAGAAGCCAGAAACCACCTCTGAATCTCCTGGCCTCTGACAGCTGCTACTTCCCGCTCCTCTCTTGAAGTTCTTACTGCTCCCACTCCCCTGACTCATTCTTCTGCTGTGGATGGATATTTTAGCTACTTGTTCCTTGATGAAAGAATCATTAAGCTAGAGTGCAGTAGCCAATATAAAAGCTACTCTGTCAATCAGCAATGAGACATTTTGAAAAACATGGCCTGTAATGATCATAGGAAACTTTGCTTTCCCAACACCAAAACTGAAGCCGCCTTATGGAAGAGCCCAGAAGGCAGATGACCCCAGTCTCACTCCACCTGTGCCACTTTCCCTGATTCCAACCTCAGAATCCTGGTTTTTTTTGACAGTGTCTCAGAACTACGATGCACTTGCAACAAAATTATTATTGTAATGTAAGTACTTTTATTAGCTTTCAAAAAATACATTTAATTACTGTTATTTTTTTTAAGGAGGTAGGAAGGGAATGTCATGAAGTAATCTTTCATTATAGAGCAGTAGTTTGGTTATTCTGACAAAAAGAATGACATATTTTCTCTTACTAGTATTCTTTCACAAAAGGGATCTTTAAGAGTTAAAAGGCCTCCAAAAAATGTTTCCTTGCTTCAGCTATGACATGGAGAGAGGTAAGATTCCTATTCTTAAGGTGCTATATTTCTGCCAAACAACACGGTGGCATTTAAAACCTAAAAGCAAGTTCCATCAGATTTGTTTTACAGATACTCAACCACTCAGACATGTAGCTAAGGTAAAATATTATACTATCAGCCCTTTGACCTAAAAAGAACAGTAGAAGGACATGGAGGGGCTGTATCTACACATCACAACGGGAAGACCTGTGTCATTTGGGAAGGCCTTTGTCATTACCACCGAAGGCAATTTAATCTCGATGAACCTTTCTTTATGTTACCTCACTGCATGAACGTGGCTGGCTGAGTGGACCACAGTAAAAAGAACGCCTGGATCTACGCTTGGCTTGGCTACGTAGCCACGCAGCTTTGGCACAGTTACTGAACCTCATCTGAAAAATAATGGACTTTAACTAGGTGAATAAGTAAGGTTCTTCCAAATCTTTGTGTTTTGTTTTATTTTTGTCAGTTCTGTCCAATTTACCCACCTGCACTGAAATTTATGTTTCATAAGTGTTACCTAAGCTGCCTCGGAGCTCAGTTGTTAAAATGCTGACTAGCCCCACACTGAGTGGCTGTTACGTCATCCTCTGCTCAACTCCTGCTTGTGGGTAAAAGCGTTTGATCTAATAGAGAAGTCATGGAAGCCAAACCCTGAGCTCATGGGTTCAGATTTTTTCATTTCAAAAGAACTTCATAGGTTACTTTGGATAATTAAAAATATATATATATCGCGAGTTCCATTTGTGAAATAGAAGTAACAGCACAAGGTCTTTAAAAAAAGCAACAACCATTAAAAAGGACAAAAGAAAACTAAAAAAAAAACCACTGTTACCCAGTCAGAGAAAAGGGAAGCAAGTTGTTAAAGAAAACCATTTTAACTTCATCTGCCTGGTGGGATCTGGGATAAAGAGATGCTGTAGGTCACAGTTACTTTCTTCTAAGTAATCAAGCTGGGCTTCATCCACATCTTTCAGAAACTTCCTGAAACTGGGATGAACAGCAGATCCGACACTAACAAGAGTCTAGTGCTTATAATCTGTGAATTCCTTACAATCTCTATTCACAGAATGGCTTTCCAATATCCCCTTCCCAGAGTTACATCAAATGGATAAGGATATACAGTCCTCAAAGGAACAAGCTTTACAAATAAAATGTGTGATTACCAAAAGACAGGCACAATATGGACAGACATTAAAATCAGGAGCAGGTTTCCTATAGAAAGTAGCAATCTACAAAGCTGGGGCAGCTACCCCCACCTACTTCTTAAGTTTCTTTTAGGAAGCACACAAAAAAAATGATTAAGGTATTTCCAGTTATTGAATTATAACACAGATTCAGAAAATGTTCCTTGGCTCAGTAAATAAAAATATATCTACCATCTCCGCCCACCATGGGCAGTGAGGAATGCTGCCTGCCCGGGTGTACTTTGGCTCATATCTGCATTGAACAATTCTTTCTCTTGAAACAGCTCAAATAATAGAGGAAGAATAAAAGCTTCTGAATGCCCTTCCCTCCCTGACACATGCAAAGCATTAAGATCATGTCTGCTACAGTTTAAAGGTAGAGCTAAAGGCAGTTCACCAAGCACAATGCCAGCCAACTGAGGCAAAGTTTGTTACATGAGAAGTGTAACCCATAGCTCACAAGCGAAATACTGCGGGCTTCCCAGACACAACACAAACAGCTATGCCACCAGTGAGAACGAAAGGGATTCATGCCAAAGAACAGGATTCTGATCGTTAAAAACGAGTCTCCGAACTGTGTCACTCCAAGTTACATAAGTCCGTGGACTGCCCTCCCAGTTGTCTTTTCACCAAACTGAAACCAATAAGTTATGTAACAATCCTAAAAAACGCTGCGGCTTGAAGATTTTTTTAAAAAAAACACATGAGAAAAAAGGAATTTACTGGGCAGACAAGACATTAGGTTTGACACACATTAAATTAAACCAAAACAAATCCTCACGCCTCACATTTTGATGCTGAAAGAACATAAATGAGGAATCAACATCGCTTTGGGATATTTGAAATCAAGAATGGTCTCATTATCCTGAACGTTTGGCAAATAGACTGATGGCTGCCAGCGAAGACTTTTGGGATGATAAATGGGAATAGTACCTGTAGTGAGTGTGAATTAGGTAAGAATGGTGGTAATATTAAAGACTGAAGAGAACAGGCAAAACTATACCTTGGTACCCTGGGAAGGAAATGCTTCTTCAAAATCAGCCAGGATTTGCTGTCCTAACTCAGTCTGGGCAGCCTTCACTCTGTAGAGAAAATAAAACATATCATTGTCTGGAAACTTTCAAATATTCATAAGTAATTTATGCAAAGATCTATAGAAGTCAGAACTAGTGGAGTCTTCAGAGACAGGAAGGGAGAAGGTGGCTAGATGAGAGGTCACACACTAGTTAGTAGCAGGTTTATGACCAAGATCCAGGTTTATCCGATTTAATCACAACATGGGTTTTCTATATCCTTAGATTTTCTATGTCCAAGTTCTTCTAGACCAGCGGTTCTCAACCTGTGGGTCGCGACCCCTTTGGGGGTCAAACGACCCTTTCACAGGGGTCGCCTAAGACCATCGGAAAACACATATATAATTACATATTGTTTTTGTGATTAAACACTATGCTTTAATTATGTTCAATTTGTAACAATGAAGTTGGGGGTCACCACAACATGAGGAACTGTATTAAAGGGTCGCGGCATTAGGAAGGTTGAGAACCACTGTTCTAGGCCATGCCTCGCCTGTCATGAATGAGGTAGTAGTTTTACCATAGGAAAATGCTATATAATAAGGCCCAAATCAGATATAAATCCATTTTGAATTACCAGTATAACTCCTCACCTACTCCTTGGAGTAAAGAATGGGAGGAGAGCTCCATACTATTTCAGAGTTGTTGTTTTTTCCAACCAAGAAACCAAGATCAGGTTCATAAATTTTAACAAATGAATAAAAAAATGTTTTTTAGAGCAGAAATAATAAAGACTGAAATGATAAAGATGAACTGCTAATTGAGAGTGAAGGCCATTGAATGAAGATTTACGTTTGCTCAGAAGATTGTGAATATCAGAACTGAGTGAGTTATGGTGAAAATCAGTTAAAAATGGAGGGTCAGTACTTGACACAGTGGATTGCATGTACATTAGGAGCACAAGTATTTTTCAGCTTAAATGAAAGGAGAAAGCAGCACAGCTGGGATGAGAAAGAAAGTTCGTGTCATCATGGTTCCCTGCAATGCTCATGTCCTCCACCAGCAGCCGGCCATGCCCCCGCCAGCCATGCCCCCGCCGGCCTCGGGAGCTGGGGTGGAGCAAGGCTCGGAGGCAGCTGCTAAACTGCCCTGAGCCCGAGGCAAATACTTTATCTTTGTTAAAAGCACCATAAAATAGTGTTCTTCCTTTCTTGGTCTCCACCCTGCTACTTTGGAATTAAGTTTATGAAGTTTCTAGAAATAGTGAATAGCTCAAAACCACAATTTCTCTGGCCACTAGGCAGTGCCTAGCAACCTACTGAGATTTTTTTTTTAATGAGGGGATAGGCAGGACCCAAAACAGTCTGATTTTTCTGTGGCATAGTCATAATTATGCTTTTATTTTAAATACTTTACAGGATTTTTCCACTATCTTCAAAACCACTGATAGGTGGGTTTGCAGCCTTTTCAGTTAGTTTTCAAGGGGGCTAGAAATGACCGAGATAAGGCTATTCCTCGCATGGCTCCCCAAATCAGAATCAAGGCCATCCATCCAGAATTGCCCAAAGTCAATGGGAAATATTCCTGACAGGAAAGAGAACCAGCTTTTGTAAAACTGTACCTTGGAGGTCCTGTGACTCCGCGTAATGGGCTAGGCAGACAGACTCCCCTGGTGCCAGGTCACAAGACTGAGCTTCCAGAGCCTCAGGCCCCTCTCTTCCTACTCTCCTCTTGGCAATATACAGAGAGCACATTCCCTCCTGAACCACAGGGACCATTCCTGAGGGGGCACTCTGCCCATATCCTCAGGGCTCCTGAGCATCTCAGTGATACCGATGGGCCCAGCTCTGCCTCTGTCACCCCATCATCCCTTAACTCCATCTTCTTACTGGATTTAAAACTGGGGTTGTCTGAAAAGAACCAGAGGCTTGGTACTTCCAGGGTACAGAAGAGGTGAAGTATCTCGGACTGTGATCTGTAGACCCCTAGTCATCTTCAATCCATTTTTAGTCACCTCTTGGGCTAGCCTAGACTCAGCTGTGCCACTAGTGCGCCAGGCATAATCATAAGGAAGCCATTTCCCCTACACAGGCTACAGCTAAGAACAGTTGTGGAATAAGAGGGCGGGGATGGAGGCCTGTACCAGATGCCTTTCAGCATCCTCTCTAGTACCGATTCTTCCACAACACCCCTCTTGCAGCACTAGCTGCCGACAGCATCCATGTTTACAGGAGACTACAAGTCAGATGCATAATTAACGTTGGAGCTGAAGAATAAGCTTCCGCACATAAAGGTTTCCTAGCATAGTTTTTGAAGTGTCTTATCAGTGATTCCAATGAAAGAGCAACCATTTCCTTTATTGACATTAATGATGGTGTCTGTAAACCCAAACCACGATTCCATGTAACATTAGGGCGAGATGTGAACAGCAGCCTTTACAATCAGTTGCCTAAACAGGATCCTAGGGGGGAAAAATCACTTGAAAGAATCTATCTTCAACTTGACTCCTTTATTTATATTCCTTCCTCTTTTAACAATGAAAAGTAAATGCCTATGTAAAGAGAGGGAACAGCTGAGACTCTGTTAGCAGAGCACATAGAAGGGGTGAGCTACCAAGATTTCCTATTCACTCTTATGAAAACCAATCTACAACTGATAGAGAACAGGGCAGTAAATAGTAATTCCTCTTGGCATCCAAATAAGTTCTGCCTGGTTGAGTGTTGATCACTCTTAGGAAATAAAAGATTCACTGTACTGCCTAGAAAGAAAGGTCAACCAACTGGCTCCTAGCATCCTCCACGTCACGTGACTACGGGTTGTTTAAAGGTGCCCTTTCCTAAATGTGTTATCAGTTTTCATAAAGGGTGGAAGCAACGGGGCAGCAAATTAGGAAAATTATTTAGACATTTGTAGATAAAGTAACCCTGATGCTTCCTTTATCTTGTGAATGACAGTCCCAACGAAAATACAAAGGTTCACAATAAACTGACCTCCCAAATACGTGGTGTGTCCTGGACAGATGGTTAATTAGCCACATTGGTCTGAGCTGCTCTATTTCCAAACAGAGAGACTCTACAATCTCAACCCAGAATCTTAGAGTGACTCAGCTGGATGCTTTTGAGGACATCAAGTACAACCCCTATACTTTTGAAACCCTTACACTTTTGAAACCCTTACTCTTTCGCAACTTACACTTTTTAAACTAAAGTTCTTTCAGCAGGAACCCTTGTCAAGTACACACAGCTAGGCAGGCCTTTCCATTCTCTACTTTAGTTTCTTTCATCGCTACATCATGTGATCGCAATTTGCCAGGTATCTCTCACATGTAAGAGATTAGAAGTAGCCCTGAAAAATATTTTTAGTTCAAGGGTTTCAAGAGAATACAAGACTCTTCCATTCTTTCTCAGGAAATATTGACTGATTACTAGAAACATTTGCTTTCATGGATATTCTTAAGCCAGGAGGATTTGTAATATGAAGATGATATTTTTTAAAAAATCTTTCCTTCAATGTTATATTAGTGTTTAAGCATTTTCCAGAGGGGAAGTTGGAAAAAAATAACTATATTCAAATCAAGATCCATGAATTTAATATTTCCCCTACCCTTAGCCCCTGAAGGTTCATTCTATCAATTCCTCCTCTAAGATCCTGCCACGCCCTGTATAGCAAATACCAGTTTTGTTGTATCTGTGCTCTGCTGAAATTTTATATCAGTGTTTCTCTTCTCTACACAAAGATGAACTCCTTGAGTAGAGAGTGTGTATTGCTTATCTTGTGCCTGTGGTACTCCAGCACAGGGTCTAGGATATAGAAGGTGCACAGTAAATATCTATTAGGTAAATGAAGGGAAGAATAAATGAATGGGAAAAACAGATCAACTCCGGATCATTATGAGGATAGGGGGAGGAGTTACTGCCTCCTTCCCTTCTCCCCCATCCACTGAGAGCAAGTCTGCCTTCTCCATTCAAGCTTCCTTCCTTTTCGCAGCTCATAAAGCCCTATTTGCCCACTCTCTTAGCTGCTTTCCATCCCCAGTGTGGCATGGCGACCAGCCATCTCTAAGTGTGAAGGGGTTAGGAAGGATGAGGGGAAGGGCGGTGACTTCCCTAGTGCTCTGCCAAGCTCTGTACATGATAATGAGTGTTTGCAGCACTGAAATATATTGATGAAGTGTTAGATTTTCTCTTTATAAGGGGAATGTCATTACAACAGTGATCACAACGTTCTTCAAATTTATAAAACCACCTTTCAAAAAAATGTTAGAAAGCAAAGAGTCCTAAAAGAGCACATTTGCTTGTATGACTCTAAGTTGTTTTTTTATAAATAAAATTCAGTTCTGCTCCATTCCTGCCATTAACAATGCTCATCACAAACAACCAACCAGTTGGTAACCAACCCCTCAACACATCTCCTTGACCTCATGGCCATTATTTTGGTATAGTCCTTATCTTCTCTAGTCTAGAACATAGTCTAAACCCCCAGTGTCATGTACCTATATCCACCAGACTTCCATAAAATACAAATGAGATCATGCCCCTCCTGCTCAAAATCTTTCATTGCCCACCAAATAAAGAAAAGGTTCTCTAGCAAGGCATATGAATGCTGACCTTGCCTACCTATGCAGGCTTTCACTATCATCTCCCAAAGTGACAGGATGCTCTCTCTCTCTTCTATTCTCCCACTCTCCTTTTTATCTTGATGGTAAGATCCTTCCCATTCTTTTAAAATCAGATTAAAATTGAATTCTTCTATAACCCCTACCCTTAGCCCCTGAAGGTTCATTCTATCAATTCCTCCTCTAAGATCCTGCCACGCCCTGTATAGCAAATACCAGTTTTGTTGTATCTGTGCTCTGCTGAAATTTTATATCAGTGTTTCTCTTCTCTACACAAAGATGAACTCCTTGAGTAGAGAGTGTGTATTGCTTATCTTGTGCCTGTGGTACTCCAGCACAGGGTCTAGGATATAGAAGGTGCACAGTAAATATCTATTAGGTAAATGAAGGGAAGAATAAATGAATGGGAAAAACAGATCAACTCCGGATCATTATGAGGACAGGGGGAGGAGTTACTGCCTCCTTCCCTTCTCCCTCATCCACTGAGAGCAAGCTGTCTGCCGTCTCCATTCAAGCTTCCTTCCTTTTCGCAGCTCATAAAGCCCTATTTGCCCACTCTCTTAGCTGCTTTCCATCCCCAGTGTGGCATGGCGACCAGCCATCTCTAAGTGTGAAGGGGTTAGGAAGGATGAGGGGAAGGGCGGTGACTTCCCTAGTGCTCTGCCAAGCTCTGTTCTGACATTCCTTTGTAGTTCTTGGGCATTTCCATTGCAGGAGGGTACACTGAGTGCATGTTGCCGTCTCCCCTTCCTGCCCCAGAGCAGCAGAAATAATAAAAAGATTTTAATAAAAATCCAGAACCATACAAAAAAAGATGTGGTAAACTAGAAACTCTAAGTCGTGTGTGGTTTGTTACAAGGAAATAGACAACTGGGAGAGTTCCTCTCACTAATACAGACAACTGAGAGTTGTTGAGATATACAACTTGCCAGCTGCCACTGCAATGATGGCAGGCCAGCAACTATGTGACATGGGCAGCTTTGGAAGACTTGGTCAGGAGCTGGTAAGGGTACGGTGGATGGGAAGTCTGCATCACAGAGTTAAATCAGATGCCATCTAAGGTTCCTTCTTATAATAGGATTGTATAAGGAACATACGGAGCGAAGTGCTCCAGCACTTCCCAGCACCATCTCTTCTTAAACGGGAAGATCATTTTCTCTGATGACACAGTACCTTTCGGAAAGCTGCCGGATCTGTGGAATTCCCATGTACTTGTGGAAGTGCTCCAGAACGTTCATCACACCCTGAAGAAGATTAGCAACTTCTCCATACTGCCTCCGCCTGGTCATGGCTCTGCAAGGAAGTAAGAAGTTGAGAACTCTAGAAAACCACTAAGGACACAAGAAACAGATGTGGAACAATCTACTCTGAGCTCTAAAACAGACATCACTGGAGCAGAGGGCGAGAGTGGGCTAGAGGGCGTTGACAGGGGGTGGGGGGTGGAACGGGGACATATGTAATATTTTCAACAATAAAGATTAAAAAAACAACAAATTATATAAATCCAAAAAATAAAACAGACATCAACTCAATTTAGTAAGTATTTGCTGAGCACTAAAAAAGTATGGTGCTATGCAGTGGGGGGAGACGTCTAAATCCTCAAGGCAACAACATTTAGTCAGGGAGAGGGCCAAATACACAGCTAACGAATACCAGATAGGATGAACTGAGTTCTAAACAGAAATACTAGGTATGTGCTATGGGAGGTACAAAAGAATGCGTGAGTAATGGGTTCTCATTGTGTGGGGAAAGGGAAATCTGGGAAGACTATGAATTTTGGGTTTGAGTTGGGTTATGGGATTAGCAGGCTTTTGACAGAGAACATGGGTAAGGATGTTATTATCTGAGGGTTACAGTTTAGGGGCAAACCAAACACATCTTCCCAGGATACAACAAAGGGCATTTAGGTTCATTTACATGTTAACTCAGATCTGTACGTTTTAAGCCAATGTTAAGCAACTCTGTTTCCCTATTGCAAACGTTAATGAAGCATAAAAGAGGATGCTGATAAAATCAAGTTACACATAGCAAGGAAGGACAAACCATTAGATCTAAATCTTTCATTAGGGTTGGGCTTTTAAATTAAAAGTATATTTTATGACTTCCCTTAAGAGGCATTTACAAAGACAGGATCAAGTTCAAGCTAAGATGTGATGCTGCTGCCGGGTCAGATAGTTGTACAAAACTAAGCATCTGGGGGAAGGGACAAGGAAATTGCTCCTCCAGTCTGCCACTGGCCTCTGACCTCTCTGATCACTACTTGCAGGAGAATGGACCAGGGTTCACTGAAACTCATGCAACATCTGGGAGAGATCAAGAAGGAGCCAGTCCTCCGCCCTTAACTTTGGATACTGCATCTAAATTTACGTGAAGATGCTCTTTCTCTGTCCATACATGAGATTACACTGAGGCTGGGGCAGGGGGAATTCGGCCTGAGATAGACCACAGAGGAGAACTGGCACGTCAGAATCTTGCTAATGAAGGAGGCCTTGACACTGCTTCTTTGTGGTAAATAACCAGCTCTTTCTTTTATTTTTATTTTTTCTAAATATATTTTATTGATTTTTTTTAAAGAGAGGAAGGGAGAGGGATAGAGAGTTAGAAACATTGATAAGAGAGAAACATCGATCAGCTGCCTCCTGCATACCCCCTATTGGGGATGTGACCGCAACCAAGGTACATCCCCTTGACTGGAATCAAACCTGGGACCCTTCAGTCTGCAGGCTCTATCCACTGAGCCAAACCAGGTAGGGCCAGCTCTTTCTTTTAATACTATTTCTAATGTCCTCATGCATCATTCCCTATAGTTCCTCTATAAACCAAACAGGAAGCTACTGTATTTGAAACACTGGGTTGAATAAATCAAAGATATGTTTTTATATGATACATTCAATGACAGTGTGACTCAGCCCATCACAAGCAGGAAAACTTGTCAAGGTCAAGGCTGTAGGGAGGGACAATGGCCCCGAATCACCTTGTGGGCTTCAATGATAGAGATCTACCAGATCTACCTGTCAGGTTGTTTGTATTCTTGGAGTCATTTCTCCACATGCTTCCAGGGCCCATTCAGATTCATTTGCATCTCATTTCAGAGTGTCAGGCTGTGCCCTGGCTGGTTTTGCTCAGTGTTTAGAGCGTCAGTCTGCACACCAAAGGGTTGCGGGTTTGAGTCCCGATCCAGGGCACATACCTGAGTTGCAGGTTCAATCCCTGGCCCCAGTGGGGTCAAGTTCAGGAGGCAACTAATCCACGTGTTTCTCGCACATTGATGTTTCTCTCTCCCTATCCCTCCCTCCCTCCCTTCCACACTCTCTGAAAGTCAATGGGAAAAATATCCTCGGGTGAGGATTAACAACAGCAAAAAGTGTCAGGTTGTTTGTTGGGTTTCGAACACCAGAGGGCAGAAAGTAAATCTGGTGACTGAACATCTGAGCCAGATTTGCAGAAAGTGGGGCAGGATGGTGAGACTTTACTGGCTGAGAAGTAAATAAACCCTTTTCTCTATGTGACACATTCATTTCGTGTGGACCGAAAAGAGAAAGTTGACACTGCTTACTCGAGGGAATCGACGCCACCTGCCAACATGTGCAGGTGGTTCAGCGTTGTGATTGAGGTGGTCAGGTGGCGTTTGGCATGATCTAACTGCTTAATATCACGGGTGATTTCTTTAACCTAAATATTGAAAACCACGGGAGAAAAAGGAAGAAGGTAAGAACGATGTAAAGCCATCCGCAAGGAGCTCCACAAGGAAATAATGCAAATGAAGGAAGAAGAAAAAACTCAGGTTATACCCGAAACTAATACAAAATAACACTGACTATAAACTGTAATTAAAAAATAAAATGTTAAAAAAAAACTCTCAGGTTAGCCCTTGGAGAAAACACAGGCTTTTTCACAACAGATAATCAAATTCATTCCCAATCAGCCCATTTAAATTTAATTTGGCATTTCTTCAACCGACTTTACCCAGGGTTATAAAATCCTCATTTGTGAGAATGAAATGAACTTTATTTTTCACCCCCAATGGAGTCTACCGGGCCCAGAAGCCAAGTACAGTGCATGTACTATTCTGACCTTTTTCTGACCTTAAACAAGGTCAGAAAAGTATGCCTTCTGCCGCTGGGACTACTAGGTTCAGAATAAAAATGGATGGTATTAGTTGGCTAATGGTCTTCATTCATGGAACGAGGGTTTACTGTCTTCAGAAAAGAAAGAATTCCTCTCAAATTTGAAGATTTTTAAGAATGTAAACCCCGTAACATAAGCTTAGCATGTAATGTCACAAGAGAAGAGGCAGAGTCTTCAGTGAGTGAGAAGGAAATTGGAGGAGTAAAATTCCAAGTGTTGATCTGTCAGGTCCAAGAGGAAGAAGTGCTGTATCTGGGAACACAAGTATATTTTAGTCACTAGAAAAGTACACTGGGTAGTGAAGTGGGGACAATTTTCCAACTTTACCAACACCCAGGTAAAATCTTCCACTAACTGCCTGAGTTCATGTTGACCAAGAAGCTTCTGAAGAGCAACTTGCTTTCCCAGGTTCTCTGATACCTGGAAGGGAGGAAGGGCCCCAATACCAGGCACACATATCCTGGTTACTGGAAAGATATACCTCCCATTAAAAGTGAAAAACCTGGGCCCTGGCTGGGTGGCTTAGTTGGTTGGAGCATTGTCCTGTACACTGAAAGGCTATGGGTTCGATTCCCAGTCCAGGCACATACCTGGGTTGCAGGCTCGATCCCCGGTCGGGGTGCGTACAGGGAGTAACCAACTGCTCTCTTTCCCTCTCTCTCTCCGCTCCCCACCTCAAATCAGTTTTAAAAAACACACCATGTCCTTAGGTGAGGATTAAAAAAAATTTTTTTATTTTTTTAAGATTTTGGCTCTAACCAATTCTTGAATTATTAATTGCCACAACCAAGGTACATGCCCTTGACCGGAATCGAACCCGGGACCCTTCAGTCCACAGGCCGATGCTCTATCCACTGAGCCAAACCAGTTAGGGCTAAAAAATTTTTTAAATAAAAAAAGTGAAAAACCTGGTAGTGAGTTAAGTTCATGTGACCTGATTTTCTAGTTGGATCACCCTGCATGAACCCTGACCTGCACAGCTCAGTTTCACAATCACAAACTTGCAAGGTTTTTTGTAACCAAAAAGATTAGGGGAAAAAAGGATAGTAATAATGGTTTCCATTCATTGAGCAACTAACACAAGTCTAAGACCATCTCAGGGCTCTTCATACATTCAATTCTTATAACGCTTTGAGCTAGATGTTGTTATTCTTATTTATAGTTGAAAAAACTGGAATTCAGAGACATTACATTATGTAGTCAGAATCTGAGCCCAGGAGTTGGCATTTCACAGCACCTCCCACAGAGTACGAGTGGGTGAGGCTGGATTCTTCGTCAGCAGCGGGGCCTTCAGAGTACATCACCGGAGGACAGATGTGTAGAGGGAGAACTTAATCAAAACCATAAGCATGTATCATGGGCAGGCTACATCCACCTCCCAGATCCAGGAACCATTTTCATGTGATACCAAGTGACATATTGTATATCTTAATAATGGCTTCCATTCATTGAGCAACTAACACAAGCCTAGTACTATGCGTGATATAAAATACGTGATATAAACAAGTGCTAGAGAAAGGAATCCAAAATGACTAGAAAACTATTTAAACACAGGGCTGCAAATATCGGGCGGCAGGGAATGAGTCACTGCACCGCTAGCTCCTCCTCCTGAACTGATCTAGAGTGTACTCAGAGGGCTTGTTTTAGAGATGTGGGTGCTGTGGTCGGCAACAAATGGGAGTATTAAGTCCAATAACAAGTATAAGTGGATGAGATGCAAACTTCCTCTCCTGGAGCAAAAAAATTAGGAAGAAACCTAAACTCACCATTTGCTCTGATTTTTCTGCTTTGTCTTTAATATCTTTGATTTTGCCGAAGAGTTGCTGAATCGCTTTCTGGGCCTCTTCAAGTGCCTAGAATAAGAGAAATAGATGAAAAACTAGACGGCACCAGTCCCTACACTGTAATCAAGTCCAGCTTCAGAAGAAAATTAATAAAGTTCTCTTGATTCATTGCACTTACGCTGACAATTTTACTGGACCAAAGTAGTAGAGACAGAGTCCAGCATTTGGATACAGGCAAATACTCGGGATTCTTGCCAATATACATCATAAAGTTTTAATTTAAAAACGAAACTATTTCCCTCTATCCCAGTGATTACTACACACATTGATGACAACAAATAAACAGGACATGCATATCTGTGTGTGCGTGCGTGCGTGTGTGTGTCTGTGCACGTGCATGCATGCGCACATATGCAGTAACCTTCAAAACCTGTAGAGAGACAGAGATGACTGATGGGGGTAGGGGAAGCTCTGAATTTTGGAACTTCCAGATGACTGTGCCTTCAAAAACATCACAACTATCCATGGGAACTCCAGACTGCGGCAAACCTTAAACACATTATAATACCCCACTTGGAAATCAAAGAAATGAAGTTAGAAAGGGACGCCTAAAGCTACAGGCGAGCCAAATGTTTCCCCTGAAATAAGAACCTACAAAGACGAATGCCACACATTAAAAATATTACAACCCACAGTAGCTTCTGTGAGGAGGGGAAGCAATATTCAGGGATCTGGGAGGGTGCAAAAGCCACACATGTGCAGAACATGTGTATTTATAAAAGATGCAGCAGTCAAAGGACCCATGCTTCATTTCATCAAAAGCACTTTATTTAGTTTGGATTTAAGAGTGGCCTGTCCTAATTGGGTCTCACTAGCCCTTTATAAATGTAATGACAGGGCTAATGTAACCCTAGAGCTGTGTGTGGCCATCTTTGCCGACAGAGAAAAACAGACAGCCTTCGTGGGAAGGACACCCTCACAGAGGGAAGAGGAAAACAAAGCTGAGTTGGAGAAAGACAAAAGGCAGACAGAATTATCTGAACCTCTGCATCCAGCTGTACCCAATGGGAGAGCTACCTCTACACTATGAATTCATACATATTCTTTTTTGCTTAAAAAAAAAAATCCCCAAAAAGCAAACTTAACTTGGCTTCCTCTGCAGGAAATATTTTCCTTGTTAGAGGGATCATATCTCCCTGTCCTTCCCAGGTTTCCTGAGCTGTCCGCTTCTTCTCATATTGGGAAGCCTTTTTAATCTTGAGCTCCCTGCCCTGCGTGCAGCTCACATCCAAACATGGCTTTCTTTTGATCTTCTTCCACCTCCTCTGGGGTTTGCAGGAGGTTTCACATGTGGGGACAAGGATGCTAAGCTAGTGCATGTGACTATGCTATGGCTTCCGCAGTGAACGTCCAGGAGCTCCTCTGAGAAAGCCTTTAGCCCATTTGTTGCCAAGTCTGAGGTCACGATTCCAGCAGCTGCTCCACCACCTCCCTGGGCAGTGTGTGTTTGCTCTGCTGGATCAACTTACTTACATCTACAGATGTTTGTGAGCAAAGGAGCTTTCTACCTGTCATCTCTGCTACCTGGACACAGGTATTTTCATCATTGGAAAGTTTGGTCCTGGAGCTGGAAAGGGGGCAATGGAATGGAATTGGGTCACTCTAGGTGGCCCCTCTCCATCCCATCCCACCCGAAAAGGATGCCTCACTCAGCAACTGTTTTCACTCAGCTTCCTACCATCCTGTCTTTCTGATTCCAGGACTTGGCATCCCTGAAACAGCTGTGGTGTCGCCCTGGCCAGGTGGCTCAGCTGACTGGAGCATCATCCCATGCACCAAAAGGTTTGGGTTCGATTCCCAGTCAGGGCATACACCTAGGTTTCAGGTTTGATCCCCAGTTGGGGCGAGTATGAGAGGCAACTGATTCATGTTTCTCTCTCACATCAATGTTTCTCTCTCTCTCCCCCTTCCTCTCTCTCTAAAAATCAAGAAAAACATATCCTCAGGTAAGAATTAAAAAAAAAAAAAAAAAAGAAACAGCTGTGGTGTCATGAGACAACCCTCCATTTTTCAGTCAGAAGGCAGGAATATGAGGCCTCTCTCCACTGTCACATACTAGCTGTATATCTCGGGCATCAGTTTCCTTGTCTGAAAAGTGGTGATGATGGCACTTCCAGGGTTGTTGGGAAAATTTAATGACATAAGAGGTGTAAAAAGCTGCATGAATATTTTATTTATTTCCAGAACTTATGACCAACCTGAGCAAATGCATGTATGCATATATTTATAGGTAAATACACACATATATATGTAATGTTCTCCTCTGACGACACTTTTCTCTCTCACACACAACCTCTAGGCCCGCCTACTAGCTGACCCGTCTTAGTTTTAGCCCCTCCCTGAGTGAATCCATGCCCACTCATTCCACCTCCCTACCCCTTCTCAACAGCACTAATCATCAAGGAAATGCAAATCAAAACCACAATACATATCACCTCACACCTGTCGGATTGGCTATTATCAAAAAGACAACAAATAGTAAGTGCTAGTAGTGATGTGGAGAAAAGGGAACCCTAGTGCACTGTTAGTGGGATTGTAAATTGATGCAGCCACTATAGAAAATAGTGTGGAGATTCTTTAAAATAAAAAATAGAACTACCATATGACCCAGTAATTCCACTTCTGGGTACCTATGCAAAGGAAACAAAAACACTACTTTGAAAAGATATATACACCTCTATGTTCACTGTAGCATTATTTACAATAATCACGATATGGAAGCAAACTAAGTGTCCACCAATAGATGAATGAATAAAGAAAGTGTGGTACAGCCCTAGCTGGTTTGGCTTAGTGGATAGAACATTGGCCTGCGGACCGAAGAGTCTCAGGTTTGATTCCGGCCAAGGGCACATACCTCGGTTGCAGACACCTTCCCGGCCCGGGCCCTACTCAGGGCCCGTTCAGGAGGCAACCAATTGATGTGTTTCTCTGACATTGATATTTCTCTCTGTCTTTCCCTCTCGCCTCAACTATCTCTAAAAATTAATGGGAAAATATCCTCGGATGGGGATTAAAAAAAAAAGTGTGGTACATTTATACGATGAAATATTATTCAGCCATAACAAAGAATGAAATCTTGCCATTTGCGACAAGATGGATGGACCTAGAGGGTATTATGCCAAGTGAAATAAGTCAGACAGACAAATACTATATATTTTCACTTATATGCAGAATCTAAAAAACAAAATAAACATACAGAACAAAACCAAAATAGGCTCATAGAAACAGAACTGATGATTGCCATAGGGGAAGAAGGGTATGGTTGAAGAAGATTAAGAAGTACAAACTGCCAGTTATAAAATAAGTCATGATGGAGCAACCAAGATGGCGGCATAGGTAAATACCTGAACTTGCTGCTGCGCACAATCACATTAAAACTACAGCTAAAAGACAAAACAAATATCATCCAGAACCAGGGGAATGCTGGCTGAGTGGAAATTCTACAACTAGAAGGAAAGACAAAAGCACATTGAGTCTGGTAGGAGGTGCAGAGGTGCAGAGGTGTGGAAGTATAGAGGTACGGAGGCGCGTGCGAAAGGGGCTGGCAGCTGGGTATGCTGTTGTCTTTTCAAACGGGAGGAAGATACAAGCTCCCGACTGCTCTGTACTCCAGCTCTGGGCGAGAATTTGGGGACCCAGACTCATACGAAGAGAAACTGGACTGTCTGGCATCGGGCCGAAAGGTGAGGGCGGCTTTCTTGCAGAGGTGCTTGCAGCGTTCATTGTTCCTGCATAGGGCCGCGGGACACAGACCCCAGGACCTCTCAGAGGCAAAGGAGACTGGCAGCCATTGAGGTTTGCTCCGCCCAGGTGATTCCCTGAGACCCCGCCTCACCCAATTTACAACCCCACCCAAGCTGTGCACAGAGGCTTTTGCATAGAATGGCCTGGCCTTTCTCCGCCTAAAAACCTGTCAAACTGTAGCTGGGTCAGAGAACCCCAGAGCTTCCAAAAGAAGGCCCAAGGCCCCACAGCAGCTTGCATTACTTCACAGCTGGGCCTCATCTGGGCACCTCCAAACCCCAAACAAATAGGAGGAATCTGCAGATCTCTTCGTAGCTCCTGCTGGGTAGCCTCAGGCAGAGGCTAAATTAGCACCTCCTTAAATCCAAGAGCCAGTGTACCCAGTGGTCAGAGTGGGACCATCCAGATTACAACTCCTCAGATCCATAAGAGACACACTCAGGGGGCAGACTCAGTGAGCACCAAAGCCCCACTGAAGCAAGTCTTGCCCCAGAAGGGTGTCTTCAGCACAGAAGTTCTCCCACTGCAGACACAGCTGATTCTCACTGCCAATTGGCCTGGAGGTCAATTCCTCCCAGTGACACCTAAAACAATCAAGGCATAACTACAACAAGACTGTGCACAAAGCCCACAAGGGGGTGCACCAAGAGTGTCCACCTCAGGTAACTGGGGAGGCTGAGCCACTGGGCCCTGTAGGACACCTAGCACACAAAACCACTCTACCAACACAGGGAAGCAGACAAAATGCGAAGACAAAGAAACAGGTCACAAATGACAGAAATGGAGGACAGCAAACGACTGGATATAGAGTTCAAAACCACGGTTCTAAGATTTTTCAAGAATTTTATGGAAACCGCCGATAAATGTATTGAGATCCTTAAGAAATCTAGTGAGACCCTCGATGTTGTGATAAAGGACCAACTAGAAATTAAGCATACACTGACTGAAATAAAGAATATTATACAGACTCCCAACAGCAGACCAGAGGATCGCAAGAATCAAGTCAAAGATTTGAAATACGAAGAAGCAAAAAACACCCAACCGGAAAAGCAAAATGAAAAAAGAATCCAAAAATACGAAGATAGTGTAAGGAGCCTCTGGGACAACTTCAAGCGTACCAACATCAGAATTATAGGGGTACCAGAAGAAGAGAGAGGGCAAGATATTGAAAACCTATTTGAAGAAATAATGACAGAAAACTTCCCCTACCTGGTGAAAGAAATAGACTTCCAAGTCCAGGAAGTGCAGAGAACCCCAAACAAAAG